CAGCAATTCCACTCCTAGGTATTTACCCAAAGGACACAGAAACATTAATTCCAAAGAGCACCTGCACCCGTATGTTTATAGCAGCACTATTTACAATAGGTAAGCTTTGGAAACAACCCAAATGCCCAAAAATAGATGACTGGATCAAGAAGATGTGGTACATATACACCATGGAATATTACTCAGCATTCAAAAAAGATAAACACATGCAATTTGCAGCAACATGGATGGAGCTGGACGGGATCATGCTCGGCGAAATAAGCCAGAAAGAAAAAGAAAAATACTGAATGGTGTCACTCATAACAGGAATCTAGAAAACCTAAATAAGGGACCAAGAAAAAAAATAGCTATAAGAAAGAAAAAAAATCAAAATCAACAAACAACTATGAACCAGAGACACACTTTGTGGGGGGGAAGGAGGGATTGGGGTCAAAATCGGGGGTTGCACACTATGGAGAGCTGTGTGGAGATTTCTGGACCTACTAAACATAGAGCTTCCATATGATCCAGCAATTCCACTCCTAGGTATTTACCCAAAGAACACAGAAACATCAATTCCAAAGAGCACCTGCACCCCTATGTTTATAGCAGCACTGTTTACAATAGCTAAGCTTTGGAAACAACCCAAATGCCCAAAAGTAGATGACTGGATCAAGAAGATGTGGTACATATATACCATGGAATATTACTCAGCATTCAAAAAAGATAAACACATGCAATTTGCAGCAACATGGATGGCGCTGGAAGGGATCATGCTCAGCGAAATAAGCCAAAAAGAAAAAGAAAAATACCGGATGGTCTCACTCATAGCAGGAATCTAGAAAACTTAAATAAGGGACCAGGAAAATGAATATAAGAAAGTGAAAATCAAAATCAACAAAAAACTATGAACCAGAGACACTTTTTGGGGGGTGGGGGGCGGGAGGGGAAGGATTGGGTCAGAATGGGGCATTTGCAATTGTATGGGGGAATATAAAAATAAAATTTAAGATTAAAAAAAAAATTAAAAAAAAAAAAAAATCGGGGGTTGCAGTTGTATGGGGAATATAAAATAAAAATTTTTTTATAAAAGAAAGAAAGTATTTAAGCCAAAAAGTAAATTATGGCTGAGTTACCTAAGATCCTAAATAAGATTTAGGGTCTCCTAATGTTGAGAGGTTAGCAGGAAGGACAGTTCTGGCTTCAAGATGTCGGCAACCTCAATTTCAACAAACAAGTCAACTTATTGTCACATATGGAAAGCCCAGATGTAGGTACTTCCAGAAGATGGTGATTCAGTGGCTTATCAGATTTATCAACGAGCTGTCCTTTCCATTTTCCCTATTGGCCATCCTCAGCAGGCAGGGTAGAATCTCTCCATGTCACAAGGTAGCCTCCCTATGCTCACTTCTCTCCAGGTATCACAGTGTCCAATATAAGAACAGGGACTGTGTATTCTCTGGGTCCCCTTTAAAAATGAGGAAATCCTTCCCAGAAGCTCTCCAGCTGACTTTCAGCTGACTTCTCTGGCTCCAGCTAACTAGCTAACTTAATACTCACTCTTAAATCAATCTCCAACAAGGGAACAGGATTGCCAAAACTAACCAGGATTTTCCCCCTTGAGCCACAGGGAAAGAAGTGAACATTCAAAGTCAAGACTTTGCCAGCAAGGAAAAAAAGAGATCAACTTTTGAGCAGGGACCACTTACTATTACGTGACCAGAGCTATGTCTAAACCCTGCTCTAAGAGATGATAAAGACCCTCCCTCCTTATTCAGAAAAAGACTGAGGGCTCCTCCAAGGCAACAGCAGGTCTAGTTTAGTGGGCTGTGGTTTAGGGCTGGAGTTATGGTCTCTTCATACCCTACTCAAATCACTAGGTAGTCAGGTGTCTGAGGAGAGGAACAGATGGTGGAGGTAGTTTGAGGTACAAAGGGAAGGTTAACTGTCTTTAGAAAAGATGTTTTCAGATGAAGTAGGATCTTCTCTGCCTTCCTGGTGTGGGCAGGACTACACAGTCACCTCATTCACCAACCTCAGGTACACGCAGGGTAGGGCCTCCCCAATCACCTGCCTCTTGTCAGTCACATTATGCTCAATACATATATTTAAAGAATTTCACCAATCAATTTAATATTTTCTCAATTACTTGATTTCATAACATGATGTCAAAAATTCTTAATACCTTAGGAAAGGTAATGTTTTGGTCACAGTAACTGCTGCATCTTGCGTCAAAGGCCTATAATCTGGGCACCCAAATCCATTTTCATAATCATATGTTGTTGCTACATTATCATTTTAGTAAGGAAATGATGATGATGTCTTATGAAACCACATCTTTTTTTTAGCCACTGTTTTTGACTTTGTGATAAGAGGGAATGAAACACAAAAACAGAGTGAGTCATTCCAGAGCCACTATTTCCCTTTCTCTTTCCTTCCTGTCTTCCCATTGGAGGCCATACAGAAGGTTACACAGAAGGTCACTGCTGGACACATAAAATTCTCAAATCAGGTTCATTCAACAAATATTTATTCCAGACGTTGGGTCCAAGAAATACAAAAATCCAAATAAGACAGAGTTATCTAGTCTAACTAGGCAGCCATTTAAAATGATTTTTCAAAAGTACATTTATTGGCCAGAAAAGATATTCACAATCAATGAAAATGTGTATCTATGAGCACTGTTTACCTGGGCATGTGAATATGTATCCATCCAGGTTTTTAAAATTCATTCTCTCATGTATACACAGATATATGGAGAAGGATGGGGAATGGAGAGTGTTATTTTTAACAAACAGAAACACTGTAGTCATTCTGTCTTTTAAGAGCTGGTGGAAGTGGTAAGGAGTGGTACAGACAGCCATCAGAATAGAATTTATGCCAGTGGGAGGAAAAATCTTTATACTACTTCCTTTTGCCTACACAAACCAGTGCAGACCAGTTGTGTGTAAGATTTTAATCTTGTTAAAAGAAAGATTATAATGTCAAACCCTAAAGTAGATTACTTTTGCCTTGCAGACTATAA